GCCATACAGAAACTATGAAAAGGGCATGAAATGGGATGGAGAGAATGACCCATAGTAATCCATTTGCTTGTTTGATGGTATTGACTGTTTCCTAGTATGATTTGATTGCTTATTGTACCCTATGACTATTATTAAGTGTTGTACCTGATGATTCTTGACTCTTGACGAATGTATCTTTTCTTTTATGTACACTGAGAGCATTTGCACCAAGATAAATTCCTCGTGTGTCCAATCACACTTGGCCAATGAAGAATTCTCTTCTAAAAATTCTATTCTATTCTATTCCACATTTTTGTTCAGGAAAGAAGGCAGTATTCCAAGTGTTTCCTCCTCCCCATTTTCTATACAACAACTCTGTGAAGTAGAGTGTGCATGAGAGAGAGCAAGTGGCTCAAAAAACACCCTACACGTTTTGGAGTTGAAGGCCCTCTCTTGCATGCACAAATTAACAGAGCAAAGCTTGCAAAACTCAGAGGTTGGTTTATCTCTTTCTTCCTTTTTTCAATCATTTTTATAATTGATCTTGCGCTAGCAAACAGAAACCAGTTATTGTGTGAGAAATACCTGAACTTACAAAGCTTACTCAAGGCTGTGAGGCTGGGGAATTCCAAAGCCAGAGCTTTCATTTCGAGAACTTTGCTCTCAAACATTACAGTCACAAAATTTTTTAAAAAAGGAATCCAGAATACAGTCAGTGTCTCTAATGTCTTCAACACATTTTTGCTTTTTAAAATCTATCCATCTGCACTGGATACGTGCAATGCAAATTCATGTTGTCCAGTTGTGATTAACTCATAGAATCCAAGGACTGGAAGGGAAGGGACCTTGGAGGTCTTCTAGCCCAACCCCCTGCCCAAGCAGGAGACCCTTCACCATTTCTGACAGAGGGCAGTCTAGTCTCTTCTTGAAAGCTTCCAGTGATGAAGCTTCCTCTTCTTGAAAGCTTCTGAAGGCAACTTCTGCTCCATCCATTGATTGTTCTCACTATCAGAAAATTCCTCCTTATTTCCAGGTTGAATTGCTCCTTGTTCAGTTTCCATCCATTATTCCTTGTCTGGCCTTCGGGTGCCTTGGAAAATAGCTTGACCCCTTTCTCCTCTCTGGGGCAGCCCCTCAAATATTGGAAGATGCTCTCCTGTCTCCCCTGGTCCTTCTCTTCCCTAGACTAGCCATGCCCAGTTCCTGCAACCGTTTTTCATATGTTTTAGCCTCCAGTCCCCTAATAATCTTGGTTGTTCTTCTCTGCACTCTTTCTAGAGTTTCAACATCTTTTTTTTTATAGTGTAGAGACCAAAACTGGTCACCACATTATTTTCTCCTTAGTTCTAGGTCAGGGACCCACATTTTTGCTTTAGTTTAGCAGTAGCACTTAGACTTATATACTGCTTCACAGAGCTTCACAGCCCTCTCTCTAAGTGGTTTACAGAGTCAGCCTCTTGCCCCCAACAATCTGGGTCCCCATTTTACCCACCGTGGAAGGATGGAAGGCTGAGTCAACCTTGAGCCAGTCAGAATTGAACTGCTGGCAGCCAGCAGTCAGCGGAAGTAGCCTGCATTTTAACCCCTGTGCCACTACAGTTGTTTAACAAAAGAAAAAGATATAAAGCTAAAAATATAAAGATATGCATACCATATAATCAAATAACGGCAGCAGCGATATATAATATAATCTCTTATTCTGAATAAAACATAGAGCCCTTCAATGCATCTTATTTTCAATTCCAAAAATCCACATAACAGGACTAGGTGTTTCTGTTATTAAAAAAATATTTTAAAATATCCTCTACATTAAAATTAGAAAAATATATAAAGACCCAGAGTAAAAAAGCATATCTATTGAACTCCAACTGTGCACGTTTCTAACATGAAAACATTCTTGACCACAATTTAGGCTTAATGCCACATTATTTGTTCCAGTAACATACACAGTTGCAAAATTACTCAGCCACAAACCCACATCTTTCCACTTCTTAGATATGGATCATTTGTAGTCAGCAGATGTTAAAGAGGGCAGGGCTGACTGTTAATTTCAGCAAAAGCACACCAGGTAATTGATGTTACCTAGTTTGGTAATGAAACGTCCGCAAGAAAACAACCCAACTCAGAGAGCAACAAGGATGCCTCATTTAAACCCTGAGCTACAAATATCCCCCTTTATTGGTAGAATGGAGTAGTTCTGTCGAAGCTAAATTCATGGCTCGCTTGCAAAAGCCCCCTAATATAGGTAGTCCTTGACTTACGACCTCAATCTACTAGTTGATGATTAGCGATGTATAAAAATACAAGAATTATTATGGAAAGATTAATATCAGTTGCTATAATTAATTGATTAGGTTAATATTTTTGTAATGTATAGATGACAAATAAGATGATTGAGAAAATGGTATGCGGAATCTAATATAAAATATGTGTATGTGTGATATGTAGTAAATAGGGAGAGATTGTTATTAAAGTAGAATGAAGGTGGATAGCTCGAATTATTACCCAAAGTGGACAATTTTAAAAATTAATAGAATTAGGAGTGGTAAAATTGCCAAGGTGACAGATAAAGGCAATATGGGAAATGAATACAGAACTGAGGTAACAATTTTAGATAACACTGTAAAATAAGATATAAGAATATTCCAAGAAAAATGAAATGTTATAAGATGAACGGAGATTGGATAAAATAAGTTTAATGAATTTAATATTAATAATTAATGTGATATGAAACTGAACAAGTAAAATGAATAAGCAATTATGGTCATGTTTGTATCGAGGTCTGAAACCAGGAACCATACGGCTTGCCAAGTGAGAATTTTTATTCAAAAAATTAAAAATAGGAGAGGGAAGTGAGTAATGAAATTATTAGGTATGTTTAAATGATATGGTGATTGGCACTAGGAGCGAGTACTGAAATGTTGAAGCAATGAAGGATTATGATTTGTGAATATGTGTATTAAGAGATATGATTGGTATTATCAATTTTGCTTATACTAAATTTTCTGATATATTGATGCAACACTTTTTATGTATTGTAGTGCATGTGTAGGTTGAAATAAAAAAAACTTGATTCAAAAAACAAAACAAAAAAGACTTACGACTGCAATTGAGCTCAAAATTTTTTGTTGTTAAGTGAGACATTTGTTAAGTGAGTTTTGCCACCTAAGTGAATCACTGCAGTCGTTAAGCTAGTAACACAGTTGGGTCAAGTCCTGTAGCTCCAGGGATAGATACAGGTAGTCTTCAACTTACCACCACAAATGGAGCCCAACATTTCTGTTGTTAAGTAAGACAGTTGCTAAGTGAATTTTGCCCCAGTTTATGACCTTTCTTGCCACACTTTGCTTGTGAAATGAATCCCTGCAGGGATGAAGTTAGTAAAATGGTTGTTAAGTGAATCTGGCTTCCCTGTTGACTGTCAGAAAATCACAAAACTTGATCATAGGATCCGAGGAGAGTGTGACCATCATAAATATGAATCAGTGGTCAAGTGTCTAATTTTTGACCAGGTCACCCTGGGGATAACTGCAACGGTCATAAGTGTGAAAAACAATCATAAGTCACTTTTTTAAAAATTTCGTTGTAACTTTGAATGGTCACTAAATGAACTGTTGTAAGTCCAGAACAGAACAGAACAGAATAGAACAGAATGTAGAGCAGTGGTAGTCAACCTGGTCCCTACCGCCCACTAGTGGGCGTTCCAGCTTTCATGGTGGGCGGCAGGGGTTTTGTCCCCTAGTTTATAAATCACCATTACTGTGGAACCGGTGGGCGGTTAGAAAAATTTACTACTAACAGAGATGCAAAAGTGGGCGGTAGGTATAAAAAGGTTGACTACCCCTGATGTAGAGGAAAGAATAGAATAGAATGAAATAGAATACAATAGAATAGAATAGAACAGAACATAGAGGAAAGAATAGAGTAGAGTAGAGTAGAGTAGAGTAGAGTAGAGTAGAATAGAATAGAATAGAATAGAATAGAACAGAACAGAACAGAACAGAATAGAACAGAATATAGAATATAGAATAGAATAGAATAGAATAGAATAGAATAGAATAGAATAGAATAGAATAGAATAGAATAGAATTCTTTATTGGCCAAGTGTGATTAGACACACAAGGAATTTGTCTTGGTGTAAATGCTCTCAGTGTACATAAAAGAAAAAATACCTTCGTCAAGAGTCAAGAATCATCAGGTACAACACTTAATGATAGTCACAGGGTACAATAAGCAATCAAATCATACTAGGAAACAGTCAATATAAATCGTAAGGATATAAGCAACAAAGTAACAGTCCTACAGTCACAAGTGGGAGGGGAATGGGCGATAAGGAGTGATGAGAAGATTAATAGTAATAGTAGACTTTGTAAATAGTTGGACAGTGTTGAGGGAATTATTTGTTTAGCAGAGCGATGGCGTTCGGGAAAAAACTGTCCTTCTGTCTAGTTGTTCTGGTGTGCAGTACTCTATAGCGTCGTTTTGAGGGAAGGAGGTGAAACAGTTTATGTCCAGGATGTGAGGAGTCTGTAGATATTTTCCCAGCCCTCTTTTTGACTTGTACAGTATACAGGTCCTCAATTGAAGGCAGGTTGGTAGCAATTGTTTTTTCTGTAGTTTGCTAACAAGTGAATAGGGCAGGTCCTCAGGCTCTCATCCCTCCCACATTCTGCATTCTGTGATCTGGGAATATCGCTGCCTTCAATGACCCTCTTCGCTCCCTTAATTTTCTTTTCTCTCTGATTTTAAATGTTACATTAGTGTTGAGTTCCTCTTTGCTGCCCATCGGCCTCCGGGTTCAAAGCCAGCCTTCCCCCAAATCGGTGCTCTGCAGAGACTGTGGGAACGCAGCTCCTCACATCCTCCAGTCCAGAGGTGCCTAACCTGAACATCTGAAGAGCATCAGACTTGGGCTGGGCAGTTTTGCATTGCCATTTGAAAGGATCCAGTTGCTGGAATGCTGGGATTAAAAAAAAGTCCTTCCTTTGATCTTGCAGGAGATGGCCTTCAAGAAGATGATCTTCTGGAAGTAACCAAGGGGGGCTGGGAGGGAGCCCCCACCCACGAAACATACAGAAAATATGAATCCCACCCCTTGACGTTTCTGGAGAGTGCAGCAACAACAGTGCTGAAAACAGAAGAATTTGCAGAATGATGGTAGGAAGGGACTGGGAGATGGTCTGTGAAAAGTATCAGATGGGTGAGATGCAGTTGGCAACTTACAACCACAATTGGGTCAAGATACACAAAATTATCCGCTACAATGTCCTACCAGTCGATGACTACTTCAGCTTCAACCTCAACAATACCAGAGCACACAACAGATGCAAACTCAATGTAAACTGCTTCAAACTCGATTGCAGAAAGTACGACTTCAGCAACAGAGTGGTCAATGCCTGGAATGCACTACCTGGCTCTGTTGTTACATCCTCTAACCCCCACTCCTTTAACCTCAAACTATCCACTATTGACCTCACCCCATTCCTAAGAGGTCTGTAAGGGGCGTGCATAAGTGCACAATCTTGCCTACTGTCCCTGTCCTATTGTTGCCATTTATCCATACCTATTTCCTGTATTCTCACTCATGTTTATTTTTATACCTATTATCTTGTAAGCGATGGACAAATCAAATCAAATCAAAATAAATAAAGTCGACTAAAAGACACAGAACCACAGACTAGCCCAAAGTGCTGCATTTATATCACACCCAAGCCATCCCCATATACTTTTTCCTATTATCTTGTAATTGATTGACAAATAAAATCAAAATAAATAAAATATTCAGAGGCTAAGGCAGATGGCTATTAAGAAAGCCGTGTCCAACTTTACAAACTTTTTGCCACATTTTGCAAATCACTGCCCTTGTTAAGAGAATCATGTAAATAAGTAAATCTATCTTCTTTCCTCGACTTTGCTTGGTGAAAGCCAAGTGATAAGATAGCAAATGGTGATCACATGACCCTGGGACACTGCATAAATATATGTTGGGTTCTTCTTCTTCTTCTATATCCGTCATTGGACGTTGGCAATCATGTTGGCAATCCTATTTTTATCAACAGCCGCATGAAAAAGGGCTGCTGAGTTTTGTCCCAACCAGTCCCTTCGATTGTGAAGTCACAATGTTCTTCTCTTGCTTGGACCTGGTTGGCTTTCAATCTTTCCCTTGAGGATAAGTGAAGGATGCTGTATTTTTCCGGGTGTTGCATCCCATGGACGAAATATTTTATGTTTTGCTTTTTTTAATGGTTGTGATGATTTCCCTTGGCTTTCCCAGGCGGCTTATCACCTCCTCATTTGTGATTTTGTCCACCCAATGTAACAGCCGCCTGTGAATCCACATTTCAAATGCTTCCAGACTCTTCAAGTGGCTTTCTGTCTTTCAACTCTCTACTCCGTAGAGCAGGATAGAAAAGCAGGATAGTAGAGTTAATAAATAAGTTAAACCGTGTACCCCCTGACCTCGGTGCCTTAATCAGGTCTTATTTTAGCAATAGCCCTTAGACTTATATACCAATTCACAGTGCTTCACAGCCGTCTCTAAGCGGTTTACAGAGTCAGCCTCTTGCTCCCAACAGTCTGGGTCCTCGTTTTACCCACCTCGGAAGGATGGAAGGCTGAGTCAACCTTGAGCCTGGTGAGAATTGAACTGCCAAATTGCAGGTAGCCGGCAGTCAGCAGAAATAGCCTGCAGAACTGCACACTAATCACTACGTCACCGTGGCTTATTTTACAATGTTTCTTCACCAGGCCAACTTTAAGACATCTGGACTTCAACTCCCAGATTTCCCCAGCCACCACGGAAGTCCACACCATCTTAAAGTTGACCAGGTTGGGAAACATTGGCTTAAATTAATCCAGAGCTGCCTTTTCAGCACTAAAGTGAAGACCCGGGGCTTCCTTTAGCCTTCTCCTGTTGCGGTGTCTTTCAGATGGATGGTGCACAACGCCAAAATACCATCGGATCTATTTGGCCACAGCTGGTAGACCTCCTGAGTGACCATTCTGAGTGGGTGCTGAAGAAAGCTGAGATGCTTCTGCCTCAAGACGATCTGAGATTGGTTGACAGGGAGCCTGAGCTTAAGAAGAAGCGGTTACTGGTCTTGGATATGGTCTTAAGAGATGTGGACACCAATCCTGAGGTCTTCAGAAAGTTCATCCAGAGTGTCTGTATGGAATGCGATCTTCCCATGGGTCTTGAGATCACACTGATGAGTATCTCTCAAGAAGGTGAAGGAGGGTTGAATCATGCCAACTCCTGTAGCTCCAGGGTAGTCCTCAACTTATAACCACAAGGGAGCCCAACATTTCCATTGCTAAAGCGAGACAGTTGTTAAGTGAGTTTTGCCCCATGTTACAACCTGTTACAACCCAAAGGGGCATGACACAGAGGCAACACTGTCAGATAAGCAAGAAGAGTCCCTTTATTATCTCCAACTTTGCCCCCAATGTCCAGGTTACCTTCGGCTGAAGAAAAACTCTCCCAGGAACAGCCTTTAACTGTAGAAAATTCAGTCCAAAACAAGGTACATACAGACTGTAACTAAAAATCCAAACAAACAAAGCTGCAGTAATTAACTTGACAGGGCATGAGAAGGAATTGCAGACTTGAAAGCACAGCAACACTCACACAATTGGGAAGTTGCCAGGAACACAGATAAGCCATGATGATACCAGATAAATTCACAATTTGCTCCCAACAACTTGCTGCACACAACTTCCCTTTTTAAACACTGTGTTCCCAGCTGCAGCTAATGAAGGGAATCAGGGCCCTTTCCTCCCATATAAGTCACGCAACTCATGTTGCTCTCTTCTCCATCCCTCCCTGCATGCCCTAGAATGAAGAGGGGGTGGACCTGGGTCTTCCTCTGAACTCCCTCTCCCTTGTTCTACCTCTCCGCTGCTCTTCCCAACTGGACTTTGCCCTTCTCCAGTTTCTTCCACAGCCAACGGAGCCACACTCCCACTCCCTGTCAGCTGTTCGGCCTCCCCCTCCGAATCAGATTCCGACAGGGGCATGACACAACCTTTCCTGCCTCAGTTGTTAAGTGAATCCCTGCAATGGTTAAGTTAGTAACATGGCTGTTAAGTGAACCTGGCTTCCCAATTGACTTTGTTGGTTGCAATCCCGGAAGGTCACAAATGCCGATCACCATGACCCTGGGATGCGGCAACAGCCATAAATACTGTACACGTTGGTTGCCAAACACCTGGATTTGGATCACATCACCATGGGGATGCTCTAATGGTTGCAAGTGGGAGGACCGAAACTTTGAATGGTCACTAAATGACCGATTGTAAGTCGAGGACTACCTGTATGGCATTGCCTATGTAACAGCTTCAAGATGACCATGATGTTCTGGCCCAGCTCCCCAAACATGACCAACCCTCTGATGTGAACTCAAAAAGATTCCTTTATTAGGAGCGCCAGCAGCCCCAGCGAAAGGTTTCTCTCTCACAACAGGCTAACAAGTCCATCTGGCTGGAAGATAAATAGTTATCTCCCACATCTATTCAGCTCTTCCCCCTGCCTTTTATCCCCAGAGCTAAGATGGGGCCTCGCTAGCAGTGGTGGCTCTTCCATCCCAAGGACCGGCCCATAGATTTCCACTCCCCTCCTCTCCTCAACCTTCTGCGTATCCGTGCGCCAGGCACTGGACCCGGCTGTTCCTCCTCTTCCTCATCAGCCACCTCC